AATAGGTGTGGCTACAAACAATCTAAACACCCAATGTCCCCAAGTCTTAACCCATATAATTGAAATTGTGCTGACTTTCTGGTCGGACCACTTCCCACCTGCCAGTCTAAATAAATGTCTGATAGAGGGATATAATGTAATGTATAGACATGCACAATTATCTGTCTAAGAGGGGACAAAGTCACTTTTTGGTATGGGATTATGTAATGAGTAGGGTTGCACAGATACCAAGTACAGTACTCGGTACAAGTACGAGTACATGTACCGATACCTTTGAGCTCCAAGACTACACTAGAGAAAAATGCAAAAATTAGTAGGCATCTGTCATTTGTAAGGAGCACACGGAGCTCCTGGGATTTGTACATCTCTGTTTTAATGTACGATTTAGTTTTTATAAATATAAATAAAGTGATGAACAGATACCAGTTTTGCGAGTATGAGTACTGGTACTTGCGGAGTACTTACAAGTACGAGTACTGATACATTTTTGTTTATTGTCATGTGACAGTTTTTTAAAACAATACAGACTAATGATTTCAGGACAGTGGTGGAGCACCAGAGCCAGGTCCCAGCTGCAACCTCTGCAACGCTGGTAGTTCTCATGAAAATTCCAAGTATCTGCACTGGTACTCGAAAAGTATCTGTGCATCCCTAGTAATGAGGCTTAATGGTCGCTGGGAGCCATGTTTTATTGATTTATTGATGTATTGTCTCTATTGTCTTTTTTTTTTTAACCATAACATTTTTATTGGTTTTAGCATAGTAAACGGTACAGTACATTACAATGCATTACAAGGTGCCTACAATACTAACTGCATTAGAATACATCATTGTAAGTACAACAATGTGGTGGGGTCACTGGTAATGAGTCATTGCCAACTCCGCAATTAGTTACTGCAGTGTGCATTGGATGTAGACTGGTTGTAGGTGATGGTGAATAAAAGTGCACAAGTATTCCACAATACAAGATTACCGGGGTCGGGTGCATAGCTGATAGAGCAAGCGTGTTACCAGACAAGGACCAGTATTCATAACCTGACGCAGAGATGCAATAAGATAGGTATGGAGCTCATATGCAATGAGGCTTGTCAGGACGCTCGGACATTTGGGATTCAACGAAGATTCAACGTCTGTGTTGAGTCTAGTGTATCGAAGAGCAGCAGCTCAATTGAATTTATAGTGGCGCCACAAGAGACAAACATCACAACACAGGGTGAGGGGGGCATACAGAAAGGGGAGGAAGAGGGCAGATGAGAGGGGAGTCAGATGCCAGAATGTAGTGAAGTAGTGGAGTAGTTGGGCCATGTGCTGACATACGGAGGGTTGTCTCTATAGATGGGAATAACGGTCAGCAATCACATAGTACAGAGGCGGCGGGGGATGTTTTGGGCGACATATTTGTCCTCTATTGTCTTTGTATGTTTTTTTTATAAAGTATATGTTAAAAAGATGAATGTAATTTAATCAACTGGTTTATGTGGGTGCCTAAACAATTCCGGCATGTACATTCTTTTTGGGCAATAGTATAATGGGATGTGGCACTTGTTATTAAATAAGAACCCTCTTTTCTTTGTTCCCCCAAACTCTAATATTTACTGAATTAACAAGAGGTCTATTTATAAACAATTCACAACATGAGCTATAATTTATTATCCACACATGTGATATTGGGTCCAGACTGCTTTTGCAGCCCATGTTCCAATAAAAGTGTATCAATGTCTGTATGTGACCAGGGTCATTATTAATCACTATTACAGTGCACTAAAAGCCAGAAAAGAAGGGCATAATATTGTGACACACTCTTTCTTTATAAGTCTAATCCTTCCTCCTCTTCACCATTAGTAAAGAGACAGCTGCACACTATTCCGGAAATACAACTGAGTTAGTAGACTAATCAAAATTGGAGAAAAACTGAATAAAATTACTAATTACTACCTTAGTTTTCTGTAATGACAAGTAGACATGTGCGATTCGTTTCGTTCCGAATCGAAATTCGGACGAATTTTCGGAAATTCGGACATTCGGATGTATCCGAATTCCGAATTACAGACATAACGAATGCAAACGAATCCGAATTTCCATTTCCGAAATTCGGTAGCGGTAGTTCGAACGTTTGTTTCGTTTTCTATTCTTATTCGTTTCTTATTCGTTTCGTTTGTTGGAGCAAAGTGACATTAGAGGAGAAAAATATTTTTTCCACCTCACATGTCACTTTTCTGCAAACGAAACGAATAAGAAACGAATAAGAACAGAAAACGAAACGAATGTTCGAACTACCGCTACCAAATTTCGTCCGAATCCGAATTGACTTTCACACCCGAATCCCGAAAAACGAAATAACACATATCCGAATTTGAAACGAAACTAAACAATTTTTTTGGCAGTGCACATGTCTAATGACAAGTAGATTGAAGAATCCATTTTATTTTGTGTTTGAATCCTGTAGATATCCTTTTATCATCTTTCTCACCCTGAGTAGCAAGATTACTCAAATGATCCATACACAGTAATAATCAAATTGGGAATTGACTATGGCTATCCTTGATCTTTGCAGACTTTTCTGGGCAAAATAATTTTGGGTAAACAACTAAATGGCCAGAATACAATTTCTAATTAGTCAGAGCAGTCAGTGACTAAAGTGACTGCAAAATGTATAAACATATACACTTAAGCAGAAGGAGCAAGCATAATCATGCCATTTATTATCATCACACACAACTGGCCACTCTTTCAAGTGTATGACTTATCTTAAGGTACAATTTAGCCTAGCTGATATTTAATTTCAGATTAATTTAGGTGCAGTGAGTTGACAACACATTTTGCAATTTTTTGAGGATGGATTTTTTAAATAACTTTATTTAAGAATTCAAAATACAATGTAGTCTTATCATAAAATATACAATTAATGCAGCTTTGTAGCCACATACATAGTACATGCAAAATAAACATGATGGAGTGATATCAAAACTTTGGAATAAGGTATAATTTAACAAAATAAGATGAAAATGAAGGTGATTTGTGGTCATAAAGAAAAATATGATACCAACTTAAAAGAGTCCAGACCGGGAGATGGGGTACTACATTAGTGTAGTCCAGTGGTCCGAATTTTAAAAAGACTCAGTGCCGTCCGTCCGTTTTTTTACAACGGGCGGACGGCAAGAGGTTCAGTGCAGATATATGGGCAAGCATAACTCTTGATGTGATGGCAAGGCTACATTTATCTTGCAAATCAAGGTGTGCCTAAGAATAAAGAGCAGGTGAAAAGAATGCAGTGGTAAGCAAGAGAGGGTAAAAGTGTAGTTTTGGATAATGGTGTAAATGTATCCAGATGAGGAGTAAAGAAAATAGGAATGAAGAAAAAAGGGGGAAGGAGTGAGAAAGAATGGGTAAAGAATGAAAGCTTGGAGAGGGTTATAAGCAAAGAGAAGGGTGGTGGGAAGGTAGGTCAAGTTACCTAAAGGTTATTGTATGGGATGAGTAAGCACACAGGTGTCCGAGCAGTACGGAACAAAGAATATGGATATTTTTTATAATTTGGTCAATGGGAATTAAATAAAACTGTAAGTGGCAGATTGTTGTGGTTGAAAGCAGATTGGAATTTGTGAAACTGCAATCAAAATTGCCAAGTGTAGGCCAGCAAATGTGGCCCATGCATTGTAAGATATGGTTATTCAGTAGGTTTGCAATATTGCATATCAGTCAGTGATGATAGCCCTTAATTCACTGGGGCTGAAATAAATCATTCCACCTGCACTGAAAAATGAAAGATAAACAGGTTTATTCACAAAAGGGTGAAGGGTTTGGAGAAGGCAGGAGAAGTGAACAATCTAGGACAACATAGCTGATTTGGGAAAATTCTCCAATTCTCCCCACTTTCCAGCTCACCTTATGTTGTCCTAGATTGTTCACTTCTCCAAACTCTTCACCCTTTTGCGCATAACCCTGAAAGTCTGGTTACAGTTCAAGTTTTTTCATACAGCCTTGCTGCCGTTCAATAGCAATCCAACTGCATGTCTAAAAGTCTTTTTAGTTTCTTCCTGGTGCCATTGAGATGCTTGGCAAGAATATAAAGTCCACCAGTATAACATTTTGTGCTCAGTATTTAAACCAAGAAATGTTGTATCTGTAAATCCCCCCCTCCCACCTCTATTCAAGCTGGGCTTCTCCATTTCTGCATAAATGGCCTCTTTCACACCTCTTTTGAACCAGTCCTCCTCCCTGTCTAGGAT